GCTCAGCTTCTGTGCACTTTCTAAAATCCACATTGTGGTCAGTGTGCACGCTAGGAATTTTGTGCACTTTCAAAAATCCTGTATGGTAAGGGTTACGCGCTGTAGCCTCGTTCCCTTTCTATCAGTTGGTTAGGCCCCGGTTTTCACCTTGGGCTCCACTCAACCTATGTCTCCCTGTTGGTTCATTACGGTATTTCTAATCCATATCTATGGTAAGTGCTCACGCTAGTTCTATGTGCACTTTCTAAGTCCATATTCATGGCAGGTGCACACACCAGCCTTTGTGCACCTTCTTAAAAGCCTTTATGGTAAGGGTGACGCGTTGTTGTCTCGTCCCCTTTCTCTGAGTTGGCTCTGGCCCCGGTTACCTTGGGCCCCACTCTCTGCATATTCACTTTCTAGACAGGGTGTTACTACTAAGTTTCCCTGGGTATCTTGAGATCCTCGGTAGCTAGTTCTTAGTGCAGGAGGTAGTCTCTGTTTTGACAGGCCAGGATATGGGGTTGTAAGTAGCCCTGATACTCTGCCTTATCCCCTTAAAGGAATCCTTGGTTATTTTTTGATTCCAGGCTTGACGTAGGTATACCGTTCCCCATAGCGACCCTTAGAGGACGCAGTTCGAAGTTCCCTCGGAAGGGAACGTCTCAGGTTACGTATGTAACCATGGTTCCCTGAGAAGGGAACGAGACACTGCGTCCTCTAGTCTCCTCGCCATGCTTCGGACATAGCTTCAGACGAAGAAGCGGATGACGTGTTCTACCGGCGCTCTTTTATACTGTGGACGCGCCGGTAGTGACGTCATAGGCTGTTGCTGGCCAATATCATTGTCGTGTTTAGATGTATGCTTCAGACACCGGTCACGCCGAAGGCGTTCCCCATAGTGACCCCTAGAGGACGCAGTGTCTCGTACCCTTCTCAGGGAACCATGGTTACATATGTAACCTGAGACGATTTCTATAAACTGTGTAGTCTTAAAAATGAAAATAAATTTTTTTGGTATGTTTCTTATATTCTGTATCTTGATTTTATGTTAAGTACATTTCTAACGCCACAACAAATCCCTTGTGTGTTTGTGCACACTTGGCCAATAAATATTTTTCTGATTTAGAAAATAGCCTAGAATAAATAATCAAAATAAAACAAATAATCAGACTGTAATAACGCTGGGTACACAGATTTTCTAATTAATCGGGATCTTGTTATGAACAATCCCAATATTGGTTTTTGACCTCTTTGTTTTACTTTATGCCTATTTTCAGGGATATTTACTTCTTTTGAACAACTTGACAAGAGTTGTGAATGTTTGCGAATCAGAATCAAAGTGAAATAAATCAGGAAATCTGCATCAATATCCAACCCTAGACTGGAGTCATGTTGTGTTTAATGCAATGATGGATAGATCAGTGATTCCAAACCATCTTCCATCTTGGAAACCACTAACCTAGACCTTGAAATCTATTTGTGGATTATGTAACTATAATAATATCTGTCAAATAAGTGACTTATAATAAAAAAACGAATGTCCATTGACATTCAGAAATAAAACTGTGTACTGTATAAATAGATTTCACACTGTAATTCAACACCTGGCCTGCCCTAGTTGTTTCTATACATTATTTTTATACCAGATGAAGGGAATGTACCACAAGTGTAATTTCTGTTCAAACACAGAAGATTATTTTATGAGCATATAGCATAACAGTTGTTCATCAGTAATAATGAATGATACAGTTTAAAGCCTATAATGACAGAGTATCATATATGACCCCTTTAAGTATCTGAGTTCATCTGCATCTATTGTGGGTTTGAGTGAAGAGCAATCTTATCCAGGACTTACCTGGATCACACATCGGGCAACACTCTCCATCAATTTCATATTCTGCATTATTGCATGCTGCCACACAAAGCACAATCTTCACGAAGAGGAGAGGAAGCAATTTTGATAGACTATAGAATATACACATATCTGGGAACTAAATAAATAATCTGCAGAGGTGGTCATTTTCATGGAGCTGAAAAAGAGATTTTGTGTTTGATGGCTTTCAGAAAAATAGACAGAAATAAATTGTGCCAGACACTTTTAAATCCATTTTACTAAAATGGATGGGCCTCAAAACTAAACACCAATTATGCATTGACTCATTATTTTATACATTAATACACCAGCAGGTGGCATGCCAACTCCTTAAGCTCCTTTATGCATTACAACTCCTTTATGCATTACAAAATGCATATATTTCATATTATACAACATATATTTAGGAAAGAAAGTTAAAGCATTCATTTTTTAATTAACATTTGAAGATGCTGAATAACTCCATTGACTACATCTTATCAAAAGACAAAACTACTCTAAATATAATCTAGTTAATTATAAGTGAGAGGAATACAAAGGAAATGTATTATATAAATACCAGATGGATCATACAGCAATCTCACATGGGTTTGCAGGTAAAACTCCCATATCTATACCAAACAGAAACGTGGGTGAGTGAAGTACTGTGAAGGTTTGAAAAAAGGTATTTATTTAAATCACACATAACTATAAAAACATCAAATGGTGCATGGTGCATAAGGGGAAGTCGTGGCCTAATGGTTAGAGAGTCGGACTCGTAACCCAAAGGTTGCGGGTTCGAGTCTCATACCGGCAGGGATTGTATGTGGGGGGAGTGAATGTATAGCGCTCTCTCCCACCGTCAATACCACGACTAGCAAGCAAGGCACCTAACCCCCAACTTCTCCCCGGGCACCGCAGCAAAAATGGCTGCCCACTGCTCCGGGTGTGTGTTCACTGCTGTGTGTGTGCACTTTGGATGGGTTAAAATGCAGAGCACTAATTCCAAGTATGGGTCACAGTATGGGTCACCACGTCAAAGACGTGCACTCTGATGTAAACAATGGCATGGCGGAGCGCGTGAGAGACGCTCTGAATGAAAGCACATTCACTCTCTGACAGCAGATGGCGCTGAAGAGCAGAAATGCAGCCGTTACCCCGGAAACAAAGCAGCTGAGCTACTTTCTGTTTCTGAAACGTATTTAAATGATTTAAACAGCCATTCAGATTTGTGTATTAGCTATGGTGTTCATCACAGCGCCAAATACTTAAATATTTAGAATAATAGGCTATTTATTTTAAATTTTTTGTTACATTTAAATCTGGACTAACATGCCCTAGATATTGTTTGAAAGTGTTTTGATTCTTTATTGTTCGGTCACACTTTACATTAGGGCTTCATTAGTTAACATTAGTTAATTCATTAGTTAATATAAACTGCCAATGAAAAATTATTCTGAACATTCATTAATCTCAGGTAATTCCAATATTTAATAACACATAGTTAAAATCAAAAGTTGCAACTGTGTTATTTAATGAGCTAACATGAACTAAGGGTTGTATTTTTTAGTTATTAAACATGTTACACTGTATTATGAAAACACTTTTTTGCAACAAAATTTCAATATCATGATTTATTTTTATTTATTTATCCTTTATTTTTCCAGGAAGGTCCCATTGAGATAAAATAAATCTCTTCTTCCAGGGAGTCCTGGCCAAGATGACCGTACAAAAAATTTAACATAAAATTTCACAAACATACACCTCACAAAACAAAATTACATATAACCAAAGCAAAAACAATAATCATAAATCGGTAAATTTAATTAAAACAACAACATGATTAATTTGCTAAACACTGCACTAATTTTTTTTAAATATTCAAAGAAGGAATTGTTTCTAATGGAGTTACAGTTTGAAATTCATTCCACAACCACGGAGCATAGTAAGAGAAAGCTGATTTTCCATGCTCTGAATGTATCCTGGGTATTTCTAATTGAATCCCATTCTATATTCTGATAATATTCTGATGAATTCCATTATATTCTGATAATACCGTATACCGCGATAAAAGCATTAGCAATTAATCGCAACATGAAATTTTGATACCAGCATATCCCTAATCTTAACATTACCTGGTAAATTAATGTAGCATATATGTTATCATTACCGTAACAGCAGGGGATTATTGGCATATAATAACAATGAGTTTCTCTTTTTTGATGGATCAACATTAAATACAGCCAGCAGCTGGTAAATGCGGTCGCTTTAATAATCCAATGATCCATCCCATTTATTTCAACAGTTTGTTCACTTGAGTAATACACTACTGTTTTCGATGATATTCGCCATGATATCATTGACATGAAGCGCCAGAAGCAGCGAAAGTGACCACGCGACGTGGCTCTATCACACAACACAGCTCGCAAGCACTGAATTGAGTTATTTCATGTGATCTTGTGCTTAAATGGTGTAAAATCGCTTGAATGTTTTAATTAGCAAGGCTTAAAAACATGTGCAAATTATTAATTTTTGTGAGGACACAGCATTATCATCAGTCATCTGTCCCGACTCCCGAGCGTCTTTCATACTGGCCTCTGGACATCGGACAGTCATTATTCTAGAAATCTGACCTGATAATGAACAAATATTTTAGCTTTGCTTGGCAGCATAGAGGAAAATGTATGCATTTATTTATAAATTTAACAGATTGTTAAACTAAAGTAAAAGTTGAAAGATTTCTTATCCTGTGGCTCCCTCTAGTGGACTGCAGTTGTCCTCTATAGGGGGCAATATTTGCTCAGCCAATGTAAGTCTATGCTAAATTTTTGATTATTGATAATTAATACGAAAACTGTAAGTTCAATCAGTTAGAAAAGATAAAACAACAAACTACAGATCCGGTCCAAGAATAATAAAACGTTTAAATAGTATAATATTTTTCTCAAGCCAACATAACTAGCTAATAACTTCACTAATGTTAGTGCGGTGGATCAATGAATGCGGGAGAAGGGGAGAGATAACTTAGATACTGTGTATGTGTGTGTCTGTGTACAGCAGTAAACTGAATACAGTGTTAAATATCTCCTTGTTTCAGATGATGAGAGAGATGAGAACTACTGGCCAGCCTTGTGGACTGAAAGTCAGGCTAGGGAATTAAAAACAGGCACTCTTAAATGTGTACTGAAAATTCCCAGCTGATCAAACCTGTGCTCCAGGGACCATATTCATATAACATCTAAGGATAAATGTAGCTCTTATCTGGCTGAGTGAGTTAGATGATTAACACTAAACACTAGAAAATCAGTCCAGTAAATGTCATTGGCTGTTAAAGTCTTGTGTTGCTTATAATAAATGTTGATAAAACATAAGCATAAGCAGAGGCTGGGAGGGAAAATCCCAGTATACTCACTACAAAAAACTAGACTACACCACTGTTTATAGCCGTAACCTTTGAGACACTACAGTTTCTAAGCATGCATATCACTGCTAAAAAGAAAAAAGAAACTCACAAAAATTGCAGGACAGTGTAGCTATAGACTTGTTTGCGACACATAACTCCCCCACTTTCAACAGAACACAGATTTCATTTCCTCCACAGGCCACAGAACTGGAACAACTTTCTCTTCTACTTTATTTTTTTTAATCCAGCATTTCTGCTAAATGAACTGATTTTAGATGACCTTTCAGATTTATTTAATTATAAACATTTTTATAATCCAAGGGCGTATAGAATTTAGTAGGAAGCTAGGACATGTCCCTACCAAAATCCAGTGATTACTAAATTGTCCCTAGCAATAATTTTGATCAAACAATTAAATATATGTAACCGCTGTTGTTGTAATTTCGTCCGCATCTTAAATAAGACAAACCGTTGACATTACCTGAGAAGTTAAAGTTAATACTAGGGATTCACCGAATGTTCGGCAACCGACATTCTGCCGAAAATAACAAAAAAAGCTCATGACATTTTTGGTGACATGATTAAACAGCAACCAGCGTAGAGTGAGAGGTGTGCACTCTTTATAATGCAGCAAACATGTGGGCAATGTGGAAACACTTAAAAGAGAAAGAGCAAAAACCATTACAAGCACCGACAGCGAGAGACTGTTTAGCACTGCATCTCATGTCTTCGATGAGAAGAGGAGGGTGTGGGTGTTTCTGGTTTCTGTATGATGATTGAAATTGCGAAATGGCCTTAAAGCCTCCGGTTTCAGCTCTGGTTAGTTCTCAACACATGCTAAAAAAAGTGTGCGTGGAACGGAGGAAGTGGAGCGGGGGAGGGGGAGGAGGGGAGACAGAACACACACAGCGTCGGGTTCAGACAGTTTCATTTCGCTCCCATCGACTTAAAAACACAAATAAATGCACAGCCATTTGCACTCTGCATCGAAAACATACGTATATATGAACGCTCTGTTGCACCTCTGAGTTGTAAAAACGGTTATAATCACCAAGTGAATGAATCGCGTTTGTGCCGAACTCTTATTACAAAGCAAAAACAAACACTCTTCTTTGATCCATGAACGTTTCTCTCAATTAATGTGCGCGATGTCATCTCACAGTCTGAAACGTCTGTCATAGCTAATCAACACATGCTGTTGTGAATAATTAAGCAACATGATAAGAACATGCAGTCTCATGAATAATTTAATAGACACCGACGCGTCATCGATGTACCATCGTCCTTTGCCACGTCACAAATTGTGACGTCAACACGATGAAGATTTTAAACCCGGAAGATGAAAATAGCGCAAAAAAATCTTAAAATTAACCAGTTTTCTCCAACAGTTAAAATAATCGGATGCTAACATTGTCTTCTATGATGTGCAACACAAACACTCTGCTAAAATCTAAAACACAGTAGTCTGGGGTTTCATGACCCTTTAAACAATTAGTAAATAAACTGCAGAATGTTATGTTTTCTAATGCACTCATGGATTGCATGCTCAGTAACATTTTTATGAATTTTTACAAGGCGTGGATGTGACAATGTGATAGTTGCAACAATCTGAATGAAAGCACATTCACTCTCTGACAGCAGATGGCGCTGAAGAGCAGAAATGCAGCCGTTACCCCGGAAACAAAGCAGCTGAGCTACTTTCTGTTTCTGAAACGTATTTAAATGATTTAAACAGCCATTCAGATTTGTGTATTAGCTATGGTGTTCATCACAGCGCCAAATACTTAAATATTTAGAATAATAGGCTATTTATTTTAAATTTTTTGTTACATTTAAATCTGGACTAACATGCCCTAGATATTGTTTGAAAGTGTTTTGATTCTTTATTGTTCGGTCACACTTTACATTAGGGCTTCATTAGTTAACATTAGTTAATTCATTAGTTAATATAAACTGCCAATGAAAAATTATTCTGAACATTCATTAATCTCAGGTAATTCCAATATTTAATAACACATAGTTAAAATCAAAAGTTGCAACTGTGTTATTTAATGAGCTAACATGAACTAAGGGTTGTATTTTTTAGTTATTAAACATTAAACATGTTATTATGAAAACACTTTTTTGCAACAAAATTTCAATATCATGATTTATTTTTATTTATTTTTTATTTATTTTTCCAGGAAGGTCCCATAGAGATAAAATAAATCTCTTCTTCCAGGGAGTCCT